TATATATATATATATATATATATATATATATATATATATATATAGAGAGAGAGAGAGAGAGAGAGAGAGAGAGATCATCTTTAGTAATAAAGCAATAAATAAATGTAAGCGAAAAAGCTAGAAATCTCAAGAAATATTATGTTCACAATGTCTAGTTCTATCATAAGTGTATTCAATATATTTTATAAATTGGTAATGTAATATTTAGAAACAAATCAAAGCGGTGTGAAAATCAAAGAGTGCACGCTAAAGACCTTGGACCCAATTAATCTTACACAAATTTAATAAATTCTTGAGGCCTATAAATCAATCAACTTATTAAGCAGCCCCCTCTTTTACGTACTAATTTGACTTTGTATGTATTAATCTTCTAGACTGATCACACCCCACTAATTAAATTCCAGTAGAATTTCTTGTTTTTAGCTAAAACAACAAGCTTTAAATTCAAAAATTATTTTAAATATCCTTTAATAAAAAATTATTTTATAATTATTTTATAATTTTATAAATCTACTTATTATTTTTTTTTTAAATTAACATGTTTTTGATAATTCATTTTATGTAATTTTACATGTTATTAAAGCTTCAAGTTATTTTCCGAATATTCATATACAAATAAAAACTATAGTTTCCAACCGTTAGCTTCAAGTTGCCACCTATCAACTTGCAGTTAGTTGTGCACTTTGTTGAATATAAGGTGTGCAGAAATTAACTGATCAAATTGAAACCAACTTATATCCGATTAAGAAGTGATTAATATCCAATTACCTTTTGAATAGATCAAATGTCAAATCTCAAAATCCATTTGGATTGGATGGTTTATTGAATTATCTTGAAAATATAATAGATACCAAACCAAACCAACTGGTCCAACTGGATATCTAATTTTAATCCAATAAATATAAAATATTATTATCCAAATCCAATTAACATTATCAATTATTCAACAAAAATTAAGTTGAAGATTTAAAGTTATTGTTACTTTTTTAGTCTTATTTAATGTAAGTGACTAATTATGTGCGGTTTTATTTTTAGTTATCACAGTTATATTCGGTTATTCGATTGAAAGAGATTAAAATGGTTAATGAATTAAACAAATAAAAAATGTTCATTTGATAAAATCAAATTGAATCCTACGTCCAATTGGATTGGGCGGTTCGGTTTTTTATATTGAATTAGATTAGATCGGTTGACAAAATCGAATATCCAATTGACGATTGGATCGGATCGGTTCCACCAACTTAGTTGGATTTAAACCGATGAACACTTCTAGCCGAACACTTTCATAGTAACTCTGTTTATTAAGTTTTTAATTTATTTTATATTTGCATTTAATTTTTTTATGATGAAAATAACGTCAAACACACGAATTCAATTTTGTTGTCAAACGAGAAGAAAACTATGAGTATCTCTTCCATAATAAGCAAAAAAATATTCGAAAATAATATATAAAAAAATAACAAATAATTTGAATTTAAAATCTAAACTGCTCCCTTCTAATTATCATCTGCCTATGAACATATATATGCACAGCCCGGTGACGACGATCAATAAAGCCATCAACTTCCATTTGTTTAAACAAAACGCCGCCGTTATATAGCAAGAGCCGTTTTTACACTACTACTCCACAGCTTCAAGTCGTTCTCATGCGGCGTCAAGTTCAAATCCCACAACCATCTCTTCTCCGTCACCTGTACCGGCGGCGCCACTACCGGCCGACCACTTTTATCATTAGCACCGTCACGGTGCCTCCTCATATGACCACCCAAAGCTTGCCCAATCGCAAACTCCAACCCACAAACCGAACACTCATGTATCTTTGGCTTCGCCGGCGACGGCAGTTCATTCACGTCGGATGATTTCGGCCGTTTGTGGCTGGCACGGTGGCCGCCGAGGGCTTGGAATGACTTGAACGACTTGTTACACGTTTTGCAGTGGAAAACCCGACCCGGTGAAGCACCCGATTCACCGACTTTTGAGAGCAGCATCAAGCAGTTAGCCATGGCTAGACTCTCTACCTCTCTGTCGTCTTCCCAGCTTCTCTTGATCGTCATTTGTATCGAAATGATGTCGGAAATATTGTTATTTGGTAATGTTGTTGGTCTGGTCTGTAGTATGCAAGTTCCTTGGACATATATATTGTGGAAAAGGGAAGTGAGAGGAAAGATGACAGCGTGTGACCGCGTATTCGGAAGTCGTAATAGATGAGGCAATTGCTTCAGTTAAGGAAGAGGAGAAAGTTCTTGGAAATCTAGAATAAACTAATTAAAAGTGTGGATTACGTTCTCGTGCATTTCACGTGCCTTAGTTGTTCAATACATAATTATTTGATAAGGAAAAAAAAAAACTTATGTTAATCTTAATTATTATTTTTGAAGATTTAATAAATAACAAATAATTTAATCAAAATAGTCATAACAGATGGACATCTATAAAAAATTTATTATTCGCGAAAAGTATAAATCACGCTAAAACAATCTCGCTTTGATGATGAGAAATGTCATGTAAAAATGGCTAGTGTAATATCGTTTTTATTTAACATAGTATGAATTATTCGGTAATTTGATACAATGTCTTTTAAATATTATTAATATTACGTAATAGTTTTTACTAGTTATTTACTAAATTTCTAATTGTCATCTTATTATATGATGACCACATGTCCTACCTTCCATCTTATTTAATGTCTACCTACCATCTCATCTAACTTTGTTGATAAATGGGTTAACGTTACTTTGACCTAACAAACTAACGTTTTGTATTTTAAAAAGTCATTGATGTTATTTTTTTAGCACTCTAGAGGTATAAAGTTCATGTTGACCTCTTAAAATGAGTATTAGTCTCTCTTTCCAGTTTCACAAGTAAAAAAGATGACATGGCATGTATATGGTATCGTTGTGACTTGGGTTTTTTTTTTGGAAAGGAACTTCTATAACAAGGGTTTCGGACCAACTTTCGCTCACCGACTAATCCCCAGCTGCAAACATGAGGTTATACCTCATGTCTTGGAGTCACTACAGACGAACCTCCATGGCTACAATGGTTGAGTAGTGCTAAGATTTGAGCATGACTCAATAGGTTATCTATCATATCTTCCACATGCTTTATCAAGTTACCACGGCCCAAGTGGTTGTAAAGTTAAACCATAAAGAACAACACTTTAATGGTTTGGGTAAATATGTTCATCTGCAGTGACTTATGGTTGTAAAATCTGCTTTGGGGGTTGTAAAGTTAAACCATAAAGAACAACACTTTAATGGTTTCCACATCACCTTCTTTAACACCAAATTCGAGCTCTCTCTCACCATCTACAATCACCAAACATTTTTTTTATCTTCACCTTTGATGTCGATTGTCAGCTTATTGTTGTTGTAATCATTGTCGGACGTAGTCATTGTTTTCGATGATTCGTCTCCAGTGACACCATTCTAGCAAGGGTAGGTCTTGGAATAAAATGCTATGGTATTGGAATTATCTTTTGAAACCTTGGATTATGGGATTTTGGTTTTGGGTTTCGTTGTTGGATTTTTATTTTGATTCTAGTTCATCTTCTTCTTTTGTAAATTGTAGGCGTAAAGGAAACGAATGGGATAATTGTGATTGTTGCAGTGGTGAAACCATTTGTAGTGACATTTGGCGGGGTTGATTATGAAGAAGGGATTGTGCACATTCTGATAGTGGTTTTACACACCGATCTAGGGGTCAATTGTGGCATTTGCTTGTATTTTCTGGCAGACCCAACTGATACTGATCGGTAAAGCTTGTTATTTGATAGATTCGCGTAACATAATTTTTCTCCACGAAAATCAAAAGAAAGAGTCTTGTTGAACAAGTTGAGATTAGGCAGCTTAAGACTCTGCAACCCAACTATCAACTCTAGGAGATCGCTGATGATGACATTCGAGGATAAAGAAAGTTAAGATGCAGAATCATTCCCATTTAATGAATTATTATAGAGATCAAGAGAACAAAGATGTGAAATCATTCCTAAATCCTGAGGAATGGAACCAAGAAGATGAGAATTGGGGAGAACTAAAATCACGATCATGAAAGACTCAGGTGTACGGTGTACCCAACCTGAAAAAAATTTCGCAGGTGATACCTCGCCGAGCACATGGATTTGGATATTTAAAAGTGAAAAGAAGGATTTCGTAGAGTTCATAGCAGAGATTGAAGAAATTAATAGAGAAATGAGGAGAATAAGAATAAATGGAGAGTATGTAATCCATTAAAGTGGTGTTCTTTTTGGCTTGACTTTACAATGTAACGCCTGGATCTTCAAGGTATGTTTTTAATTTATTTTGTGCATTGTAAGGCCACGACGTGGTGGAGTGCCCACAACGTGGCGAGATCTGGTTCGGCCGCACATCATTTAGAACGTCCACGACGTGGTAGTATGTGGCCATGATGTGGGTACCGTTTTGGGCATAAACCCTAATTTCGGGGTTGGTGCCCTATTTAAGGGCACTAACTTCTATGGTTGCCTCATTTGGCAACCTCCATTCCCAGTGAAAGCACCCCATCCAAACCTTAGCCCCATTATTGACTTTGAGAGCTTTTTGGTGTCTCTTTAGCTTAATATTGAAGAAGAAGGCCCTTTTGGTGTTGTAGTTCTGCAAGCAAGTCTCTTCCTCATCATCTTGTATTGTTTCTGGACCTCTGTAAGTCCTCAAGTTCCTACCTTTCTCTTTCAAGCATGCTAGATCTAAGTTTTTGTCCATATTTCTTCATGTTGGGAGGTTTTTTTATGAACAATGTTTTATGCGAAATTTTAAAAATGAAAAACTTGGTTTGAAAATTTGGATGTTACATACAACCCCCAAATCCAATGATATTATATAAATATACATGAGCTCATCTTTTTTTACCCGTGAAACCAGAAAAAAAAAAGATTGATACTCTTTTTAATAAGTCGGCATGGACTCATGCCTTTAGAGTGCCAAAAAATAACATCATGGACCTTTAAAATATAAAGCATTAGCTTGTTGGGTCAGAGTGACATTAACCCTATATAAATAGTGTAAAGCGGATAAAAGTCCATTCCAAATATATACTTTGTGTTAAATTATGTCCTCCTTCCCTTATCCACAATTAAAATTTTCAAAAATCGTTTAAACGTTGTGATACTTTTACCTTTAATGAAAAACTTAGAGCTTGGAGGGTATGTGATGAGCTCAAGGATGCTATAATGGCCAAGGAAAAAGAAGGTGCAAAACAATCTTATAGTGTCATCCAGCAAGGGATGAGATGGGTTATAAAGAATCTAAAATCGAAGAAAATATGAAATGGATAAAAGAAGCAAGAAAGGAACTCATGAGAGCTAAACAATGGATAAGGTGTTGGATTAAGGTGTTTAAGCCAGTAACTAAATTGGTATATTCTTGTAATTAGATGCAAAGTCCTTTTGGGTTGCCCTCATAACTAGAACTTGGTTAGAATGTGATTTGTAGAGAGAGAATAATTTATTAGATTGTTATATGATCAATAAAGTAATTAGAAATTATGAATAAATAATTTGTTAATATATTATGTGGTTAATATCTTAATTGGAAATAGAAAATTAGTTTGTTAATTTATATGATTAATAAATTAATATGAAATCAATTAGAATTAATTAATTATCAATCAGAATTAATTTGGAATTAATTTGGGCTTAATTGGAATTAATTAAAGATCCAATGGTTGAATGGTATTTGTTCATAATTGAGCAAGGAAAGAAAATTCTAGAACCAATATAGTGGTGAACCAAATTTGGGAGTATTCTAGGGTTTCCGAAATATCCCTAAGGGCATCTCCAACCCTACACTAAAAATGCCATTTTTACACTATAAGTTACATTATAATACTCCAACCCTACATTATACCTAACATTATATATAGTGTTGGATTTTAGTGTAACACTAAATATAGTGTTGAATTATGAACAATTTACCTAGAATATTCTTTTTAGTGTTAAATATAATGTAATGGGTTGGAGGACTTTATTTTTTACACTATCTTTTACACTATAATTATAAGTATAGTGTAAAAAATAGTGTTAAGGGTTGGAGATGGTCTAAAGCTGATAAGGATATCATATTTGAATAGAATAAAATTAGAATATTTTATTACTTAAATTTAGGGTTTTCCTTATCTCATCCACACTATAAATAGGACCCCAAGGGTTAGGATTTCCATTCACGTCATTCTATTAAAGATACTCTGGCCGAAAATATCCTCTCTCCTTTCTTCTTTTGTCTTATAGTTCTAGGGTTTGGGTGTGAGCCATTAGAGGCATCATCCTTTGGGTGCTAAGCTTTCCAAGGCCTACATTACAAGGAGACTGAAGTGATTTGTTTACTAAAACAAATCAAAGTATGCAATCCAAATACCATGATTTTGATTTCATTAGGTTTTATGCTAGTTTTGTTGTTCATGGCATGTTGCCTTCAAAGTGTTATGACATAGACCCTTTATAGGATGTATATACCCTCTTAATTGTTAAGTGCTTTTCAGTATTGTACATGATTTTGTATTCTATAAAACCAATCAGTGGTATCAGAGATTAGGCTTATAAAACAATGATTGCACATGAGATGAATTGAACAAAACATAATTTTCGTAAAATTTGTATCTCACAACGTGACAGTTCCTCTGTCACAACGTGAGATTAGTTTTAATCTAATTTTCAGTTGTTATTTGCCTAATCTGATGTATGGTATTATTTTTTTTTGTAATTATCTGGTATTAATTCCGATTGATTCCAAATTTTGAATGTCTTGTGTGATAATTAATGAATCCCTAAATATTAGGAGATATCCTTATTTGATAAGTTTTAGATTAGTTAAATTAAATTGAATTATACCTTATCAATTTAATAATTAACTTAATTGTTATGTAATTCAAAGATAATTATAAATTCATTATATGTTTAAATTGATTAATTAATCATATGATAATTAATATTTAAACCTCGTATTTTGAAAAAATTAAAATACACCTTATACTATATATGATTAAAAGTTCAATATATTATATGTATAAGACAACTCAGTCAATCAATAGTAGGCCTCAT